TCGGGAATCAAATAGTATATCGTCTTGAATTTTTCAGTTCATCGTTGTCAAATTAAAGTACCCAAAGTTGTATGACCATATCCGCTACAAATCCCATAACCACACCCATACTAGCGTGGTATTGACACGAATACAGCACCTAAACTGCCATATTGAAGCAACTTAGGACCTAGCTACTTCATATATATTTACTGACCAAATGTTTGTTCAAATATTTCTTTAGAAAAATGGTCCAACTTATGTTCCTCAATTTGGAGCATGGGATAACAAGGCTGCAGCCGGGGGAAATTCTAGTTATACAATGGAATTTTCCCAAGCTCGCGCCAACAAGCAGCAGCATCAACAACACCAGCAGCATAAAAATGGTTTAGGTGCACGCCACGGATTGACAAATGATCAGCAGCAGCATAAAAATGGATTAGGCGCACGCCACGGGTTGGCAAATGATCAGGAATTTCCTGGCAAGAAACAAGAGGACCCTAGCAATATGGTAAGAATACTTAATCTGAATAACATATTGTAATTAAAACTCCTGTGGTCCAACCTCGAACCCCGCACATAGCGGGGGCTAGTGCACCAGGTTGCATGGTAATTAAAACCATCTTCATTCTGGTGCATTATGGGATTCTTGACTGCAAAATTTCCTGTAGTAATATAGTACTAGTGTACAACTGCATGGTTTTAAAGGGTTCAATTGAATCCCTTTTGTCGAATGACTATCTTGCGCGTATAGGTAAAAGAAAAGTCATGTAAATGGTTGAATATCCTTAACACAAGATTGAAGCAACATAGCGATAAAGGTGGCTCAAGAATTACTTCAATTAGATCTTTAATAACCGAGTCTTCTACAACTCTCCGCGACTCCGCCACAAACTAAAGAACTGAATTACCTCGGCTGGAGACACCTTTTTTTTTTATAACTGTGGTGTCCAGACCAACTTGAACGCAACTCGACCACCTCCCACCAGCAACAGGTACCAGCCACAGCAAGGGAGCGGTGGGTATGCTTTCTACACTGAGAAGAGGAGAAGAGGAGGGAAGAAGTAAGGGTTTGAGCGACGAAACACACCTATATTGTATCACGTTAAAAGAAGGGACGACGACTAAGCAACTATGCTACTATTCCCAAATATCATATGAAGCAACATTCTTTTGAGTGACTTTGTTAGAATCCTTCACTATGCAGCTGCTAATTCATTACCTGGTTTTGTTCTGATCACATATGGCCCTGCATAATGAGAACCTCACAACATCCAAAATTGACAAATGACAATTACTGTACAGTCAGATCTCTCTATAATAACATCCCTATATAACAGTCATTCACTATAAAAATCCAGTTTTTCTTGGAACCGATTTGTATGTTATGTTTTAATATATAATCTTCGCAACAACACTTCACTATAGTAACCAAAAAATATCGGAACAAATGAGGTTGTTATAGAGAGGTTTGACTGTACCTAGCTTGATGTCATATTCCATATCTGAATTTATTTCCTCCTCAGCAGTTTCCCAATCAAATGCTAGTGATTTATCATATTTTTATGGTTTAATCATGCAATATATGTTGTAATAGTAAAGAATTCCATGATCATCATTCCTGTCACATGATGTATTTTCCAAAAGATATATTGATCTCTAGCTCTGAGTTTCTAACTAAATGATTTTCCTATATCTGTTGAAACTGCAGAAAAATGGATACAGGTCTGTACCTCAATTTGGAATGTGGGATCAACAAACTGGAGGTGCTGCAAGTTATACTGTCGAATTTTCAAAAGCTCGCGTCAACAGAAAACAACACAAAAATAATGATCTTTTAGCGCGACCACCTAGTATCGATCATGAACAGGAAGCTCTTAGGAAGCAACATGAAGATTCTTGCATGGTAAGACTTATTACTAAACTCAATTCGCCTACTATATGGTAATTACAGATAAATCTATGATAAACTTTAATCAATAACTTGATAAAAATGATAACTAACCTACTTTTCTTGGTTAAACTACACTGGTCGTGTATAAAATTTTATACTATCAGTGCATATAACTTAAATGTCAAGTGGATAATATCGCTTGTTTCCTATATACCATGCCATCAATCAGTGGCGGACCCAGAATTTTATGCAAGCGGGTTCAATCTTAGAAGTATATAACTTTAGTTTAAAATAGTAGTTGTCAAGTGGGTTCAAATAAATATTTATACAAAATTTATACAGCTTTAATCCTAATTTATACATATACACAGTATTATTTTTTGGTGAAGCGGGTTCAGTTGAACCCGCTAGCCACCACTTGGGTCCGCCACTGCCATCAATAGGGAAAATGTAGCTCAGTGGCATTCTGGTGCAGGCGCAATTGCTACCTTCAACTCTAAAATATATGCATATATTTGGAAAAAAAAATCATATACACATACACACACGAAGTTCGTATTCATGTGCACTATTAATATCAAATCCTGGATCCGTCTCTAAACTATCCTGGACTTATACCTATTTTTCTTTTTTGGGTGCAGAGGAAAAAGAAGATGTTGGCATTTTGTTGCATTGGGCCCTGATCTCAATGTCCTAAGTGCAGCTCCCTTTTGTAATAGTCTTAAAATGGCTATTTGATTCCCCTATTATAGAGTTATCTCATGTTTCCTTAAAGTAATATTATGTATGAAAACACACTTCCTTGCTTTATTGAGCTAGTGAAATCATGAAAAAAATCTTAAATTATTAGAACTAATAATTGTATTATTTCTGAAATCTGTTACTACATTCTGCATGAATGAGTCTCATTACATTATTTAGTTTTCTTTATATCACATTCCTTAGGTGTTGCCCTTCCTCGAACCCTGCGTAAACACGGAATACTTTATGCATTGGGCTGTCCTTTTTTTATTGCAGCTATACGCCATAATCGGTTATTAACGTACAATCACATAAGTTCAAAAAATTAATATGTGGAGTAATAAAACTTACCTTGGTCAAACCTTTCAAGCAAGTTGGCACATCATAAAAGTTAGGATCTTGAGTATATGAATCATCATTGTTCATTTATCTGTATTTTGAGGATTCACTATGAGTTGACTAGTTTTACGCTCGCTATCAGCCTACCACAATGTCCCTTCTCCTTTATCAGACTTGAGAAGGACATTGTGAGAAAGCTCATTCAGGCGAAGTTCTCGAACATGATAAAAACATCTTTTTGTATACCAAACATGATAAACCATCTTATTCGGTAAAAAATAGTTCGACAGGGGCGACCTGAGAACACATATTAAGATATCAAACCACACGAGAAAAAAAGGAAAAGTGCCAAACATGTGATCTCAGATTGCCCCTATTGAACACTTTCACCAATTAGAGGATCCCCTGTCTCTACTTTTACTTGTCAAAATTGGTAGGTTTATAGATTAGATATATAAAGAATGGTTCTAAAATAGTGTGTAGTATTTCAACATTGTACTATCACTTAGTAGTACTTTTAGGATAATACTTCGAAAATCTTTTGAGCTTTTTCTATCAAGTACAACTTTTGTACTTCATATTTATGCTACTTCATCGTTTTGTACTACAAGTTTACAATACTTCTATATTCAAGGCGGATGTAGACTTGTAATAGTGGATTCTACCGAATCCAGTACTTTCGACGCGAACCATAAATTTATATTTAAAATTTTATTAAAATTGTAACAACAACAACAACCCAGTATAATTTTACAAGTGGGGTCTGGGGAGGGTAATATGTACGCAGACCCTATCTCTACCCGACGGGCAGAGAGACTGTTTCCAGGAGACCCTCGGCTCAAAGAGGCAATAAGAGACACTATATTAGTACTATAAAATTGTAACAAATAGTATTATTTAACCCATAATTTTAAAAATTCAATGGGTTCATGGCAAAAAACCTTCAGAGTTGAAATGGGGCATATGTAGTATATTAATATCGGGTTCAACTGAAACTCATAATTTTTTATGCGAGGTAAAAAATTTATATGTAATAATTCATTAAAATTGCTAAAATAGCAGATATGAACCCATAACTTTAAAAATATAAAGTTTTGAATACTAAAAACTTTAAAAGCTAAACCCAGAAAGTTTAAATTTTGGATCCACTCCTGGGATTGAACCCATAAAACTTAAATCCTGTGTTCGCCTCTGTCTATGTTTGCACGTGGACCAAGTCCATAACTAACAAATTGAATTAGAGAAAGGAAAATGAAAAGGGTAGATTTTTTGTTTCTTCTTTTAAGCTAATATATGGCTCTAACAGTTGATTTGTTTAAAAAAAAAATATTAAAAACTTTTTCTCGTTTAAGATACAAAAGATATACAGATTTGTTTTTAATGAAATTCCATTGTGTGTGCTCAGGTTTCTCGTACTAGGGAAGGTCGTCTCAATTTATTTTCCCGTCTTCAAATACAAAAAAATATTTTAACTTTTGACATTTGATTTCTTTATTTCTGGATGACATTTTAAATATTCAATTTAAGGGGATAAAAATGGGAGAATTGCACAAATATTATCTTTCAGTGCCACTATGTGAGATTTTGTTCTTAATAATTACTTTTTGGTTTGACTCCTGTTAAATGCTTGAACTCGTTGATAGGTTTCTGAACGAATTCATGAAGTTATTCATTATCTTATTTTAATAAAAAGAGAAATAGATTGGTGAATATCATTGCATCGTACGATTTGATTTTTATTTACTATTACTCCATCCGTTTCATATTGTTTGAGGTAGTTTGACTCGGGACGGAATTTAAGAAAAAAGAAGAAGACTTTTAAAACTTGTGGTCTTAAAAGATTAAGGGGTAAAAGTTTTGTGGGGACATATCATTTGTGTGGCTATAAAAGCTTCTCACTAAGGGCAAAAGGGATAAAATGAAGAGTTTAAAGTTGAATTATTTCCAAATTTTGGAAATGTGTCATTCATTTTGGAACAGATTAAAAAGGAAAGTACCTCAAAGAAAAAGAGGGAGTACATTTTTTTAAGTAATCAAAAGAGCTTAGGAAATATTTCTTTGAGTCGAAGGAAAACATTCTCAAAAAGTTTTTCTTGATACTCTTTTCAATTTGTTAATGGATTAGCTGAAATTATACCTTTCATATCTGTATGAAATGAAATGATGGAGTCATCTTCAAACAGTTTTTCCCAGAACTCGCGATTCTTATCATTTTTAGCAGTTGCTTCTTGTTTCTGTTGTTCATTAGAACTTACTGAGCCACCAGTGACATGAAACCAGTTTCAGGCCATTTATTGGACTGTTGAGAAGTGACAGGAACAATATATTCCCAATAGATATTACCATCTTGTCAACTCTAAATTTTCTTGTAACAGACTAGAACTCTGCCAATTTTACTAAGGTATGTATTACAAACTGATGCCACTCATCATTGACCAGAAAAAACTTACAACAAGTCGCCTTTATTTGTAAGGTGCATTGATCAACTATGACCATATATTAAAAAACTTCATTTCATTCAACTAAAAAGGGGTTGCAACTAAGATCATCTTGATCACAGGCTGCCTATGTACCCCAACAAATCCTAAAGAGGGATCAAGCCCACACGTAGTTCTTTTACATATATTACAAATCAATTATCAATCTGAGTATCTACTTTCAGTATCACCAGCAGCCTTCACTAATTTCTTCAGTTGTACGATCTGATTATTGCATCAATGTTGTACGATCAGTTCACGGTTATATATGTGGGGTCTTGAATGCTATCTTCTGATGCGGTTTGCGTAAAATGATCTTTAGCTTCTTAGCTGTCTTTGTTGCTGGCTGGACATTGTCTGCTACTTTGGATGAATTCAGGAACGGATGGTTCAATAGGATGTTAGCTGTCCAACCTGAACTGGAATTCTTGAATGCTATCTTCTGTTGCGGTCTGCGTAAAATAATCTTTAGCCTCTTTGTTGCAGGCTGGACATTATTGTCTGCTACTTGGGATAAATTCAGAAGCAGATGGTTCAATAGCATCTCTGCTGTCCAACGTGATCTTGACTAGACACCTCTTCAAAAAATCGTTCGACAACTTTGCATTCTGAAACATTGGTTCCTCAAACCCGATTCTGTATAAAACATTCGAATCTTGACTATCTTCATCTGATTCCCACAACGGTGGCCCTATCATCAACTCGTAGATAGTGCAACCGAGAGCCCATATATATATCTGTATAGAGTCAAATTCGACCCTCGACGCCCCTATGTTGGCAGGTACGGCCAAAGGACGCATGTTGGCTAAAGCGGAAGTACGACTTGGGCGTAAGGATAGGAACGACGCCGTTCAGCCCCAGCGTCCTCGAGTAGAGGGATATCACCTACTTTTGTACTTTTTGATTATTTCGAGAAAGGTCTCTTACTATATAAAGGAGACCTTCACATTGTAAAGGGATCCATCATTATTCTCGGATAATACAACTCTCTTATTTCTCTCTCTATCTCTATCTCCAAAGAATACTCTCTCTCTCTCTCTCTCTCTCTCTCTCAAGTTCGTATTGTCTTTTTATACTATCAGATCTGTTTGAATAGCATTATTTCCATCTCTAGGTCTTATTATATTTGATTACGATTTACCTTCGTTTACTTTTGATTGTTTTTACGCTTGCAAAGTATATCGATAACTTTTGAGCCAAACAATTTGGTGACGTCTGTGGGGATTGCACCTAGAGCACAACCAACTACCATTCTCTACACCACACAAAAGCAAAAGATGGCAGAAAATAACACAAGAATGAAAGCAATAGCAGGTGTTGCAGCCAATCTCATAGGTCCTCTCAACGAGGCCGGTGAAGAAGGCATTTTGAACGCAACCCCTAATATTACACCAGGTGGAGAGATCTCACCCTCACCATCTGAAGATCTGACGATCTTGCATGAAAAAGGAGCTTCAACATCTACGGCTAAGGAAACAGCCCCAGTAGTCAAGAAGCTACTGTAGGATTGGCTGACAAGTACCCTAAGTGGCTTGATCGAGAAGTCACCACAAAGTAACATCAGGCGTGCATCAACGGTAGGCAACACCGCTGCCATAGGTGAACCTGGGGTTGTAAAAACAAATAACATTCCCATCAATGTACAGACCAACAATGGAACACTCATAGCCATCCTTAAGAAGATGGAAGAAATGGAGAACGAAAACAAGGTGCTCCGTGACCAAATGAAAGAACATCAGGAGAGAGTAGACAAGATCCCCGGTGCTCCCAAGTTGCTACCAAAACGCGACGTGGGAAGGTTGGTTGAACAACCGTACACCGAAGAAGTTGCTCCTCACTCTATCCCAAAAACCTTCAAGATGCCACCTTACTTAAGGATATATGACGGAACCACAGATCCCGAGGATCATCTAATCCACTGTGTCACTGATGTGAAGGGCAATGATTTATCGAAAGAACAGGTACCATCCGTGCTGCTGAAGAAGTTTGGTGAGACGTTGACAGGAGGGGCCCTAACACGGTACTCTCAGTTACCATCTAAGACGATATCAACGTTCGAGGAAATGGCGGATAAGTTCGTCACCGCCCAGGCAGGAGAAAATAAAGCGGAAGCAAGGGTCAACGATATCTTCGTCGTCAGGCAAACTGCAGGGGAAGGACTCAGGACTTCCTATCCAGGTTTAACAGGGTAAGGATGAGCCTACCGAACATATCGGAAGGTATGGCGGTCGCCGCTTTCCAGAACGGGCTAAACAGAGACAGTTCGAGGGAAACTAAGAAGCTACTAAGCCACCTCATGAAATATACCCCTACCACATGGGAGGAACCACAACGCTTACTATGCTGAGGTACGAGCAGATGAGGACGATCTTAATGGGTCGACCCAACGGCTAACGACGATACGCTCAGAAGCAAGGAGGGATCGACGCAACGAGGGACGGCGAGAAGAACTCCTACACTTCAACAAAGAAAGGCACCAGCCTTACGCCATATCCTCTTATCCGCCACCACCGAGGCACACGGATGCACTGTAGCGACATGTCGCTCCACTCCGAAACGAAAGAGGTATGCCTCCTTTATTATCCGCCCATAATTTTGTGTGTCTCCTTTAGAAATAGTGTACGCACTGGAGAAGCTGGGCACCAAGGTTCAGTGGCCGCAGAAGATGAAATCAGACCCTACCATAAGGAAATCAAACGTCCTATGTGAGTTCTATCAGGAACGAGGACACAAAACCGAGGACTGCATAGGCCTACGACAAGAGGTAGTCAGGATGCTGAACCAGGGATACCTAAGGAACTCTCAGCGACAAAGGGAAAACCAACTTCGCACGCGGACGGGAACAACCCTAGGGGCCGCCGAAGCCACCGGCCCCAGCACGCACCATAAACATGATCGTCGGAGGTGGCGACGACTCAGCAATCAATCACGTCAAATTCACCACCACGCTCAAATTAAAGCGAATAATCACCCATGAATGGTATGATGACTTTGAAGATAGTATCACCTTCGATAAGTCCGATGCCGACGGTTTGTCTTTCCCTCATTATGCTGCTTTGGTTATCACTTTACGTGTCGCCGATACTGATGTTAAAAAAATCATGGTCGACGACGGAAGTGGCACCTGTATTATCCATCCGAGGGTCCTCGTACAAATGAGACTCGAAGATAAGATAATACCACGTTGCATAACATTAACATGTTTTAATAATGTAGTGGAACGGACCTCCGGGGAGATATCATTGCCCATTTTAGCAGGAGGAGTCATGCTGGAAACAACTTTCCATGTGATGAACCAGGAAACAACGTACAACGCCATCATAGGACGCCCTTGGATACATGCCATGCGAGCGGTCCCATCAAGCTTCTACCAAGTGATCAAATTCCCTACCCCATGGGGAGTATTTAGCATTCGAGGCGAGACGAGCACCGCACAATAATGCTACAAAATAGCTCAAAATTGCACCTACACCAAACAACTGAAGGGGGCGAGTTCAGAGGCATAACAACCAGCTATGTCGGGGACTAAGGTCAACCCGACAACGGACGCCATTAGAGACCCGACATCATGGAGGCTTGTAAAGCGACAGTCGAGGATCTCGACCTAGTCCAATTGGACGGTACCAAACTTATAAGGACAACCTACATTGGGCACGACCTCGACAACCCAAGTAAGTACCGTGAATTCTTAACTAACCATGCAGATTTATTTGCTTTTTCCCACTCATATATGCCAGGAATCCCGAAAGACATCGCCACTCACAAGCAGAACGTCGACCCATTACATCCGCCCGTGCGACAGATGAGAAGGAAATTCAACGCAGCAATCAATGAAGCGGTCAGTGAAGAAGTGGACAAGTTACTGGCCAACGGCTCCATCAGAGAATCAAAGTACCCCCAATGGGTCGCCAATGTCGTCATGGTCAAAAAGAAAAACGGGAAGTGGAGGATGTGCGTGGATTTCACCGACCTGAACAAGGCATGCCTAAAGGATTCATTCCCACTGCCCCACATCGACCAACTGATTGACGCCACCGCAAGACATGAACTGTTGAGCTTCTTAGATGCCTAATCCGGCTACAATCAAATCATGATGTCCGAGGAGGACCAGGAGAAAACGACTTTCATCACCTACCAAAGGACGTATTGCTACAAGGTAATGCCATTCGGGCTCAAAAACGCAGGGGCTACGTACTAGAGACTGGTCACCAAAATGTTCAAAGAGAAGCTCGGCAAGACCATGGAAGTCTATATCGATGATATGCTGGTGAAGTAGACAAAGAAAGAGGACCACATCAACCATCTAAAAGAAGCCTTCGAAATACTAAGACGATACGGAATGAAGCTAAACCCAAAAAAATATGCCTTCGGCGTGGCCTCAGGAAAGTTCTTGGGTTTCCTCGTATCACAACGAGGTATCGAGGTCAACCAATACCAGATCAAGGCAATAGATGCAATACCTGAGATTTTGTACAGCAAAAAATAGGTGCAAAAGCTAACGGGGTGAATAGCGGCCCTATCCAGGTTCATCTCACGGTCCTCCGACAGGTGCCATAAATTTTCAACATGTTGAGAAAGACCATAGGCTATAGTGGAACGAGGAATGCATCGAAGCCTTGAGAAAATTAAAAGCATACCTATCATCTCCACCAATACTGGTCAAAGCGAACCCAGGCGAACCCCTGCTAGTGTATCTGGACGTATCTGAAGTCACCGTCAGTGCAATCCTGGTTCGCGAAAACGAAGGTACGCAATCTCCCATCTATTATATTAGCAAAACCCTTGTGGACGCCGAAACACGGTATCCACACCTTGAGAAGTTAGCTCTGGCATTGGTCGTAGTTTCACGAAAGCTCCGACCCTATTTTCAGTGCCACTCCATAAAAGTAGAAACGACATTCCCCTTGAGAAGCGTCCTACACAAGCGTGAATTATTAGGAAGGCTCGCCAGATGGGCCATAGAGCTCAGCGAGCACGTATAACCTATCACTCAAGAACCGCCATCAAGTCGCAGGTACTTGCCGACTTTGTAGCTGATTTCAGCGCAGAGATACTGCCAGAGGCGGAACTGGAGGCACATCGTGCCTCCTCTGATACCGACCTATGGACTCTCTACACTGACGGTGCTGCTAATGCCTCGGGATCGGGACTGGGACTTGTCCTCGAGGTTCCCACGGGCGAAGTAATTCGCTAGTCTATACGATGCCCCGAAATGACTAACAACGAGGCTGAGTACGAAGCTGTGATTGCAGGCATGAAACTAGCCATCAAATATGGGGCTCGACAACTCGTTCTCCATTGCGACTCCCAACTCGTAGTGAACCAGGTCACTGGGACTTACCAAATCAAGGAGCAGAGATTGCAAAAATACCAATCAGAGATCCACAGATTAATGACTCAGTACGATGAGTGCCGTTTTGAACAAATCCCGAGGGCCCAAAACATCGAAGAAAACGGCTTAGCAAAACTAGCCGCAGCTACTAAAAGCATCAACAAAGAAAGCGTGGTCACCCTCCTCCATTCAGCCATTGATCACACTGAGGTATTCTTTTTAAATTTGACTTGGGACTGGCGCAACCAATTTGTATCCTATCTGCAGGATGGAACACTCCCACTCGATAAAAAAGAAGCAAAGAAGCTTCGCATACAAGCCGCCCGGTATTGCCTGATAATCACGACCTCTACAAAAGGACGTTTGGTGGACCCCTGGCCAAGTGCCTAGGGCCGCACCAAACGAGGTCAGTGCTCGGAGAGGTACATGAGGGTCACTGCGGCGCCCATACAGGTAACTGCGCCCTCATACGCTGCATCATCTAGGCCGGTTATTACTGGCCCACTATGAAGAAAGAGGCGGCGGAATACGTTCGTCGATGCGAATAATGCCAAAAGTATGCCCCTGTGATACACCAACCATGAGAACCTCTACACTCAGTCACTTCCCAATGGCCTTTCATCAAATGGGGAATGGACATAATCGGTCCCCTACCAGCAGGACGAAGAAAGGT